CTCGGGTGGGACCTCTTATATGCGAAATCCTTTGAGCAACCACCTTCCTCTGTTTTCAATATCAACATTTACCGAGAGCCATTATTCATGTGAAATGAATACAGCCACTCAAGAATTCTTGAAAAAGGCAGATTTTTTAATTTTGTTTATGACCTGCAGCAGCTCTGATTATGCATTTGTTACATAAGGGAATACTTCATTACGGTGTTTACACCTGCATTACAGTAAACAAACGCCTCATAATGTTTATCCATGCTACTTTCTGTTGATAAACTGCTTCTCAACAAAAACTCGTTTAGATATTATTCGAATTGTGGGGGGAAATTTGAGCTTTCTCTACTCTACTCTACTGGCTCACAAACTTCCATAGTACTGCCTAAATCGTTGAGTTATTCGAAACCTAACACACGAGTCTGCGTTTTTTTCCTCCAGGATCACATAACAGCCATTCGAAAAGTCTCGTCTAGCCAGAGAAGATTTTCGAGTTTGAGGGGACGTCGGACGGGGTGATACAAAGAAGTAATGTCATTTTCGATTCAGAAAATTGCTTAGGCAGTTAGAGAAATTTGCAATTACTGATTCAAAAAGTTATCTGAAAATCGTTCAACAGAGTTCTCTCTAGAGTCGAGGAGAATATCAATAATTTTCTAAGCAAAGTAGCTTTCCTAAATACACTCTTTGTTGGCAACCTAAGGGTTGAGGCTAAGAATTCAATCCGAAGTAAAATATTAGGTAGATTGAACCCAGTTCAAACAATATGTTATGTAGATTGTTATGGCGGCGGTGATGGGTCAGTGACAAGAAGCGCTGACACCAAACACGTGGTCTAGAGATCGAATCTTCGATCAAGTCCAATCCTATAGCGTACCCCGGGGACGACACTTCACAATGAGAGTGGTCTAAGAGGGCAAAAACCCTCTCATTTTTGCTCTCCCCCTGCAGTTGCAAGGGCCACCTTAGGTCGCTACCATTTTTAATGGATTCCGAATACATGGCGCATACTGGAGAAGTACCAAGTACCAGCATGTACGTCTTTGACTAGGAACGGCATTGTACTGCGAAGAATCTCTGATTAAAATTTGCTATTGATGATCTGTCTATTCTCTTTGATCCATTTTTCCCTTTTTCTCTTCCTCTTCATCTATTCCTCATTCATATCGTCTATATCATACTATTTGTACTCTCTTTTCTATTCTCATACTCATTCTCAAGAGGAAAATGAGGCATTTCAGGCTGACTATGACACCCAGGGCCAGAAAATCGGACAAATGTTGCGGAAGCTGTCCGTATACAATGCAACCGAACCGACATCGGAAGAAGCCGATGAAAAACCAAAAACGGTCAGTTCCGGTCCTCGTTTCATTCGTATGAACTGCATTTTCTACTCAGTATTGGTAGTATGAACGGCGGCAGCTGCAATGTCGGTCTAAAGCGCCGTGGAACCCCCTTTGCAGCGATGTTCTTCATTTAATTATTCCTGCGCAGTCCGTCGTTGAGCTTAGTTGAGTCCGAATTTAATTGCTGCTCATCAAGTCATTCTACTGGGCAGTGCAATTCGACTTTCTCGGAATTCAAATTTGAAGTGACGCCTCAAAGGGCTTTTTTTTGTTTGAAGAACTGATTAGGTTTGAATATTCTGATGGCGTTAACGACCGACGGCTACCGTAGTCCATTAGAAAGCTTTTCGAACTTTTTCGAAATAATTTTTTTGTCACCGACCGACACAGTTAAGTACACTCAGGATGTCCTGAGGCAGAGGGACTTTTTCTCTTCAAAAAAAAGTTTTTCTAATCCATCCCACAGTATCGTGTTACCTTGAAGTAAAGACACTTGTAAGCTTCGAGTGACTTCAGGCTGAGCTTGATTTTGAAAGAGTGGTTCAAAGTTAAAAAAAGAGCTGAAAATTGATTTTGTGGGTGGAAACTTGCAGTTTAGTGCGGTCAGTGCAGAAACCAGGCTCTCTGAGCGGCTAAAAACGGGCTATGCACACATCCAGAACTCCTCTACGATTCTGGGTGGGAGCGGTATGCAGGGCGCATCCCAAAAGCGATATTAGGTAAAGCCATAAACTTTATTCTTTATCCTGTGACCTGATAACTGTATTGAGAGTAAACTTCTTATTAGTGGCCACTACCTTTTAGGCCTTCCGGCTTACCTCGACAACATTGCCTACCCTAGGGAGGCTTGTAACTTAATTTTGAAAGGGCGAATAGTTGATTCGTAAATATGTTGGCTACGAAGTAGATTTTGCATAAAGTTGTGTTAGGGCGAATTTCCGTCCGAATAGCAATGTCCGCCGCCTCTTGCCATTGCCGCCGCTGACGCCGCTGTCCCACTTGTCCCCCTCCTCAACTGAAAACTCAATTGCCTAGCGGCAGCCCTCGTTCCCATGCAGCAAGCGAGCGACAGACTGCCAGACAGACATCGAATCAGAAATAGGGGACATGAATGAGCTTTCGACTAAAACAATCAAAAACTTATCATTTCAGGCTGCTAAAATGGGAACAATCATGGGTGTATTCTTCCCATGTATACAGAATATCTTCGGTGTACTATTCTTCATTCGTATGACATGGATTGTTGGCACTGCGGGCATTGTTCAATCGTTTTTCGTTGTTCTTACTTGTGTTTCTGTGGTAAGTTGAACTGAAAGAAAAAAAGTTGACTTGTGAAAAAAGAAAACACCTGCGAATCAAAATGGAAATCGACCAAGTTCCAATTATTTATAGAAAATCAAAAACAGGACGGGGAACGGAACATGGCTGCTATTCATTCACTTGTTTATTTATTACCGGTAGCAGAATCACAACAACATGTCAATGTCGCTGCCCATAGTAATAAGGAGAAGGGGGTAGATGTAGGAGTTCTTCGGGAACCAAAGCAGTGGCTCTACAAGAGTGCAAGTCGCACAAGCATTAAACGGCTTTGAAATGATATTACTAGACCTCCTAAAGGTCTAGCAGACCGAGTAGAATCGTAAGGATGGTCTAGCGACATTAAAGATCACACGGCTTAGCATCTCTAGAAGTGACAGGTTTTCATGAATATAGCTAGAAAAAAATTTAGAAAAAAGAAAAGAAGAATAGCTTTGTGACAAAAGTTAATCAAAATCAACACTAATGCCTAGGTCTGAAGAAGAAACAGTGAGTGATTAGGGTAATAATCATTGATTGAACAATTTTCCCTTCTCTAGGGTCTGGAAATGAAACAGAGCACATTCATCAGCTCTTCGCTGTGATGGGAGAGTATCCACTTGGGCAAAGAGCAGTTCATAGTTGAATTTTCTGCATCTTTAGAAAGAACCATTGATCGACTGAATGGTTTTCCTCAGAAAAAAAAAAGATAAACGGAATCGTGCTACGATGGATAACAGTTAAGCTAAACTAGCAGTAGGTCATCCAAAGAAATGTGGCCACCCACTTGTGTGGTTTTCCCTTGAAATCTTGTTTTAATGCAGATGCAAAGCGTTCATGGCTGGTGGTGTTCACAGTCCAACAGATCAATTTGGACTGCGTTCCATAATCCGCTTCATTATCTTCGTAACCGAATGCTGCTATCTAAAAACGAATTCAGTCCTCCTCGAATGCATCCGTGCATAGAGCTCTCAGCAATCCAGATTCATTTGGAAATGCTCAAAAATGAAAAAGAAGAATAGCTTGAGACAAAAATTGCAGTGCGGCCCGATCCTCTGCGTTGAAGGTCTCAAAAGAAATGGGGTTACTGATTCTGAACAAGCAGGAAGACAGTGGTTCGAGAATAAGTGCCCATGAAGTTATTCTTTCAATTCTTCCGAATTAGAAGGCTAGGGAAACTTCTGTAAATTTACCTTCTGTTGGAAATTTTTGAAAATCTCCTTTTTTTTTTTGAAAGTGTAGAATATTTGGATGCACTTCACGTCGCCCTACTTTATGAAGTAACTTTTAGACGTTTCTCACCTCGATATCTCTATCTGCAATCGCCACAAACGGGGTGGTTTCGGGTGGGGGACCGTACTACATGATCTCCCGTAATCTCGGACCTGAACTTGGCGGTGCCGTTGGTATTCTATTCTATCTGGGCACGACAGTAGCCGCTTCTATGTATCTGACCGGAGCTGTGGAGATATTCTTGGTGAGTCGGCACTGTTGTTTATATTCGATATCTCTTTGTTCTCAGCTCCTTTACTTTTACTTTTTATCATTTGTCGAGTGATAGCCTGGGTAACTTGTAGGTAACCCCCACATGTCCTCGTTTATATGTGTTTTTTGATATGGTTTTCAATGCTGAAATAGCCTCGGTTAAAAAGGAAGGTCCAGCGAGCCGAAAAACTCGTACAGTCGCCATACATTATCGATTTTCACGCGATCCATCAACTTTAGTTGTTTTTACACAGTTTCATTGGAGGATGATATGGGAAAATGTCCATATAAAATGCACTGAGAAAAGCAAATGGGCAACAAGTTCATTCAGAACTAGGTCTTTGAAATGTCTGCTTATCGAGGGAAAGGCCCAGAGAACTCGGCAAAAAATGACGGTTGGACGAGTTTCCCGGCGTTCCTAAAAGCCACATGTGGATGGTTGTTCTTCGAGGGCTCTCTGGCCACTGTACTCTCATTAGGAGTGCTCATCTTCTCGTAGGCCATTCCTTTTTCAGAGCAGCCGTGCCAACTGAGTGAATGAGTGTTTTTCGTATTCCTTGGGGCTTCATCAAAACAAGAATAAGCCACAGAAAAACGCATATCCTAACTATATGTGCATTTTGGATGTGGTAATTTATGATTCTTCACTCCCGTAGGAAAATCAGCATAAATTCTTGCACACAAACACATACAAAGGAAGCATTGAAGGGTTTTTCCAGTGGAACGGAGAGATCTTGTTCGCTGATATCAAGGATATCCCCATCCTCTATGCGTTCGAGGATTTCCGTGGAATCTCTCCCCAGCTAAGGCATGACCATGTCTTGTTCGGAATCTGCAAAAAAGGAAGGAATTATGGGATTTGTTGAAGCCAGGGTGAAGTTTTTTATATGGAAAATCCTCATATGGAAGGCAACAGAAGCAAGCTGAAGAGGGAACATGTTATGAGGCCCAAGTTTTCACTGCAGAGTAGTAGTCTTGAATCCGAAGGACCACCCAGTTCGATAAGTAGCCCCTATTTTGAGGGACCATCAGGCTCATCCGGCAAGCTGCGGGTTTCGACAGCATTCCCTCCCATGGTTGAGAAGAGCATTCAAAATCGGAAGAGTGAGAATTTTAGTCAGATTCCCTTCACCCGGCACACAGGCCTTTGATTCCTCTATGAAACTTCCGACCAAAAGTTTAGAAAATTCCTTGTGAATTCCATTCTCCGGTGAAGAGGAAAAAACTGTTAAGTTGCGGTTCCGAAACACGTGTCTTTTTCGCAGCTTAAGGTTGTCTTTGTAGTTCTAACTAAATAATCAGAGAGGCTAAGTTGATACTCAAGGGATTATCGTAAATTTCGGCCACTGACCCCGGTATTGGAGCAGTGAGGGAGGAAGTCAAATGAATTTACTGTCAGCTGAACTTTAGTGAAAAATGTCATTTGCAGTTATACATTATGCCCGAAGGCAAAGTATTCGAAAGTATCTACAACAATTTCCGGCTGTTCGGTTCGGGACTGTTATTCTTGGTCGGTTTAATCGTCCTCGCCGGAGTTAAGGTATATTTACTTGGCAAATTTTAATTTTCTTTTCATGGCCTTTTTGTATCATTTCTTGTTGATATTCAAACAACGCAATGTAAACTTCGATATTGGACTCTATGAAGTCGTTCTGATATTTCGAATGATCCTGATGGCATCAGAGGGGGACCCCGTCGAAAAGACTTCTTAGAAGCCTCATTAATAGCCGCTGGAGTAGCATTTATAGTTATTGCCCCAAGCGATAGTTAGTAGTACCAGTCTCATGATAAGTAACCCAGTCTTGTCATGTGAAATTCTATTCGTCCGAGTTCGGCTCGTACGGGGACCTGATCTCATGACTACATGAGCGATAGCGGCGCAGCTGAGAACCGGTACCTAAATCATGCCGTCAAAAGAAAGCTACCATTTATTAGAGATGGGACTACTGTCATATGAATTTCAGGTGGTGAACAAATTTGCTCTGCCACTCGTCTTTGTCGTACTATTCTGTATATTCTCGGCGTTTCTTGGTGCCTTTGTGAAGTTCAACGGTTCGGATTCGCTCATGTTAGTTTTATTTATTTATTTATTTTTTACTGAAGACGTAGGCACAGTTCTGATATGTTCTGATCAACGGTGTTCGTCAAAAGTTTCCAAATTGAGTTAACAAAAGCTGGTTTACAACAGCAACGGGTTTCACCGAATAAAATGGTTTTGAGTGCTCGAAAAGTCTGATGTCCCTCTCTTCAGGTTCTGTATGATGGGTGATCGACCGGTGGATGTTACAACTTATTACGAGACAATGCGCCTTCGGCCAAACTGTACAGTAGAAGGTTTGAGGCCGTTGTTCTGCTCCGATAATGGCACCTGTGATCCGTACTATGACCGAGTCAAAAATGTCAAAGTTTGGAGAGGTAGTAATATGCCGGCGATTCGACTTGAGGTAGGTCAAACATTTTTCGATTGGATGAGCTGGACGTTGAACTGATGATTTCTGTAACCAATTTCAATTCATGACTCCGAAATTTTTTTGATTTTTTATGATAATTGAGGGCTTCCAGTCATTTCTATGCATCCTTTTTCCTTACTGCTTCATTTATGCTTCTTTCTCTTTTCACTCTGATACATCTTTCACTTTCGTGTTCTTTGCTCGTGAGATGCGGTGGGCGTGAAAGACGAGGAGTAGCAGAGGCTGCTGCTGCTACTCCTCGAGTGATTCATTGCCTGCCAACTCGAAAACTGACAAAACGAAGGCGACAGCAGTCGGGCGGCCACTCGACCAATCATCATTTCCCAACGAGTCCCTGAAGTACAGAGTAGAAAAAATTCGCAAAAAAACTCTGAAAATTTGAATGATGGGAATTTCTCATCGAACTCAAAAGTGCAATTCCCTTGTCATTTCATGAGACGGCAAAAAAATTTATGTGAAAGTTTTTTTCCTAGGGTGTTGCCTGTGGAGTGGAAGAGGAAGCGGGGACCAAAGCAGATTCTCATTCAGGGATGTATTTTTGACCACGATCTACACATTTATCCCTCGTGGTTTCCCATTACCCCGTACGTACACCCCGAGACCTCCCCATACTTTCATATGAGGCTTTTTAAAGTTTCTGGAGATCAATTGGGATCTTCTGAGTTTTGACTAAGCCAATTTACTTAATTATTCTTGAAAAAATATGGAAATAGTGGCAATGATAGAAATATTCCCGAGAAATGCTGGAGGAGAAATGGACGCAGCTAGGAGTTCGTGGCTATTCTAGTAATTGCGTCGCTTTTGCTTGTCGGAAAGTGATTCTTATCAAACTCGCAATGAGACCAATCCAGATGTCCCATCTGCGACTGTAAGCAGCCAGTAAATCAGCTTTCGGTATTTTTGCACCATAGATTGGCTTGTATTAATCATTGCATTGGTAGAAAAAAAGCCTACGGTTGATGGGTCCCACGTGCATCCTGTAGGAGTTCCATCTTATCTCTTTGATAATTCGTTTTTGGAAGTTTCTCGATCCGTGAAAGTTATTCTAAACCGTCAAGGACCACTTGAGCTCCACTTGATTCCAGTGTTTGGTTGTCGAAGGCAAAAGTGTACTCATCTTTGATCCTTGGCGAAAACCGAGCAGGTTCTCCTTCTCCGGAACTCCTACAGCTTTGATCATGAACTTTTCATCGAGGCTTGTGAGTCTTCCGGCTTAATGTACTGAAGTGGTGGGAAAGGTAAACATGGTGCAGGGCGTCAAGACCCTTATTCAACGGCTTTCTATCTGAAAAGTTCAATGAGGGACGTGTACGATGCCTCTGCGGAACTACGTAGGAGTTCCTTAACTCCTGGATTGTATCCGAGGGCGGACGCAGTTTCATCATCAATCGGTTCTACTTCCTACGCGAACTCGGGAGGATCCATCGAAACGTTAGTTCTTGAGATCTCTCGAATCTGGCAATTTGGCATGAAAAAGTGAAGGAGTCGTGACGTCAGAACGATGTCCGAAGTCAATTTGCAATCTCCACGAAGGTTTTCATGAATGCCCGATGAAAGAGTCTTTATCGTGGCAATTCTGCAACCTCGCTGATTGCTTCCTAAGAAGCGAAATGAGTTTTGAGCGGCTAGAAGTGGAGCCGTTAGAGATGGCGAGCAAAGTTCCAAGCTGCTCACCTCTTTCTCTATCCTCCCCAAGCAGGATCTTCTTGCTAACTGAAACTCAAAACCTCCTTTGGCGGGGACGACAGCGAACAGGAATTACACATTGCTGATGCCATGAGACGGCGGATTAGATGTCAAACGAAGGTATTGTTGACTGAAAAAGAAGTATGTCACAAGGGACAAATCTCAGAAGAACTTTACAACCGCAACGACAACAGGCATTTGTTTTAGCAAAAGGAAAATTGAGCCTCACTCCGAGAAAATGGCATTGCGAAGGGACGGAATTGAGTAAGACACCGTGAAAGTACGTACGACAAAAATTAGTGGATGAAATAGAGAATAAAAAAGTGAAGTGGAAAAAGAAGAAAAATCGATGATTTTTTTCCGTACAATCTCTCGCACATTTTGCAACGCACAATTGCAGAACTTCAAAAACGTATGAATGGATACTCGACCCTGCCGGATGTTGTATCCTCCCAGGTGGTTATAGTACTGATCAGGTGATTCCGTATAGATGTAAAGATCAGTTACTTTCGACAGTGTCTACAGGAGATAAAGAATTGTCAGGTAGCGCTGACACTAACCAATAGTGGACGAGAAGATAATAACTCCAGAATCAAATCTTATCAAATGAGAGCGATTAAAGTGATCGGTCCTCTGGATTCTGTTAACGAAACTGAATATGCTTAAAAGGAAATGCTAGTTCATCGTTTTGCCTTCAACAATTGTATATGGTATGCATATCTAGCAAACGTATACAACTCTCATTTCTGAAGGAATGCCAGAGCATGGCGCATCCCAAAAATCACGTTACTTGACGATTAGTTTTTCTTTACCTCCACATTCTTTATGTGCACCTAACCCTTTAAAATATGAACTTTGGAATATTTTAAGGTTCAATACCTGACACCATTCCTTGTAACGCTTTTCCTGGCTTTGGATGTCCTATATATTCTATATCCTTATCTTGATTCTCATCTGGCTCATACGTACTCTAGTCACAATTGGAAATGTCTTACTGTGGCGTAGTTCCATTCTTTTTCTGTTGTCCTTCTTCATTCATTGGCTTTCTATAAACTTGTATCGTCGTATTGCCACTGAGCCATTGTGCATATGTGTATTGGTTTTTGGTCACTTGTCTCAGCTTCCGGCTCAAGCAGATATCAATTTCCTTCGTCACCTAACTGAAAGAGAGTAAGGGATCATTTTTCGACGTATCGCTTGCGGAAAAAGCAAAATACCTAGGTAAATAGATATACTATACTATAATATACTATACTATATTACACTATACTATACTATACTATACTATACTATACTATACTATACTATACTATACTATACTATATTATACTATACTATACTATATTATACTATACCATACTAACTACATAGTATATATGTATTAGTATAGCAAGGTATAGTATAGTATAGTATAGTATGGTATGGCATAGTGTAGTATGGTATAGTATAGTATAGTATAGTATAGTATAGTATAGTATAGTATAGTATAGTATAGTATAGTAAAGTATAGTATCGTACCATTCGAAAGTGTACTTACTTGCTAATATTCATTCACAAGGTTTTTTGATTTCCAAACTATTAGACGTATTTACCTATTTATTATTATTTATTTATTATATAAAATTTATTTTATTACAAATTTATTTATTTAATTTATATTTATTTATAACTTATTTATTTATTTGACGCACAATTTTTCTCCCTCTGTTTTTCTACTTATAATCGTAGCAATTCCAGCGTGCCATCAAAGGATTCAGTAGTGGAGCGTTCTTCGACAATCTTTGGCCAAAACATACCAGAGCTGGAGACATTCTTTCCAAGGATCCTAAGGTAAACGATTTTATGGTAATGGGAGTAAGAAATTCAAAAAAGCAGACCATAACAACAGGAGAAAATGAATAGGAGGTATTCGACACCCAGCGTCGACACGGAGTGTCTGTTGGAGATTGACGGAGGGTCATCTTGCAACTCGACAAGTTTCCAGGTGATGACAGTAGGGGAACTAGCGGTGTGATGTCATCAAGAATTACCTGCTGCTTACTAGGAGCGCTCCGCTTGATTGATCCAACAAAAAATCAAAGTTGTTTGCGATAGTTGTTGAGTCGTTTGGGCATAAAATTGGTATTTCCCTGGAATTTGACTTCAGTCAGAGACTTTATGAACTTTCTACCATCGTCTCATACACGGTATCACCCCCCTTCCCCCGGCACGTCCAGTGCCTTCTACTCAAGACTCTCATCGTCAGTAGATGGAGTAAGCTGAGAGTGGTGCAATTCTCTTCCTACAGCGCACCGTGGTACCTTTTTGTTTTTCTCCCGTGAAATTTTTTTGTCGTTGGCACTTTGAAGGCAACGTTTTCTCTGCAAAACTTCCCACCCGCACTTTCCCAGATTCCGAAAAGAACTCAAAAGAATCATCATCGAGCTCCAGCCACCCGAAGATAGCTATACTGCAAGGGAGTGACAACCCCCTGGGGACAATACTAATAATTTAGAGGAAAATGTCAAAAAAATATTTTGGTGTGTTTCACGGTGTTGCAGCTGATCACAGAGCTTTCTAACCGCCTGTGACTAACCGGTGGACAAGCCTTCATCGGAAACTCCGCTAAATATAAGCATTTTTAGGACAAAAGCGATAAAACTCGGTCCACAGGATACTTTGTATTTGCCGATTCCACTACATCATTCATGATTCTCATCGGTGTATTCTTCCCATCTGCAACTGGTAAGTCCCGACTTTCTCCAATGCCTCACAGCTTCGTTTTTTTTTTTCTTTGAATTCTCTTGAAGTTGTCAAAACTTTTTCCAATAGAAATGATCAAGGTCGACTGCATTGATGACAAATTCCAATTTTTCTTGAACTTGTCAATGCTTTATCAGGGTATCATCACTTGGAGTAGCCCAAGGAACCCTTACCCTCACATATTCCGATTTTTCAATTTATCGACCCTGTCAGTCCGGGATCGAGGCTCCACAACCGCAAAAGGAAACAATTGAAATCATAGCTAACATTCCAGACTGGTTTTTGATTCCGAGGGAGGGTTCTACTGCCCTTCAGACACCTTTCTTGTTACGCTCTGTTGCAAATTATGTGATTTATTTCGGAATTCTACGATTTTTTAGTATTTTTTTTTCGCAGTATTCTGCAACACCTGCATTACCGCCGATCACAGTTCGAACTTCTAGAGCAAAACTCGATATGAGCTACATTTGATATTTATTTTTAGTCAGTGAGGCCAGATACTGCGTAGTCGCGTTACGTCAACGCGTCAAAGAACTTAGAAAGAATTAATTTAAGGCTTTGAGGTTTCATCTGAAGGCATTTCTAGAGCTTTTCTAAAAAAAAAGCATGTTGCTATAGCAGCATTGCCATAATTGCAGCCTAGAAGTACAATCGAATTCCCCAGGCGCATAACGAGTTTCCGAAAATGCTACGTAATTTCTTGGACGTTCTTTGAAGCTTCAAGGAAAAAGTTTTCTCTCAAAAATCCGCTTCAGCGCTCTACTGCTGTATTATATGGGGCCAGTTTTGTGTAGCTATGTGACTGGCTTGCTGATAAGTCGGTGTACTCAGCAATTCCGAGAGCAGCATCGGAATATTTTATTAGTTTACGCGGCCATTTGATGACGTCTTGCCACAACTGAAGGTTCAAAAACCGCCGACATGGTCCGAAAAGAAAATCCAAGTTGGGGGAAATGCCGTTTGCAAACTAGCATATTCATTCCTCTCAAGGAAATAACCCTTGTTCAGGGAAATCTACCCCGCAGGCATTAATATTTTGGGGTAATTACAGCTGCAAAACTTGTTCTCTGGGCCTTGATCAACGACTGCTCCCATGAAGGGATCAGAAGCACCTGGTACGCTTTCCACGTGCTCATCCATGTTACTGCAGTACTTGCAAGAAAGCCGGCCGTGCAGGGCCACATACCTGGGTAACCTAGGCACATTACCCCGCATTGCCTACCCCTGCCATACTGCAGTAACAATGGCCACACCCTCAGAACCGGGAATTTTCTGGGTAATTTCCAACAATCATTCTGACGGCTGGATCGGGAAGAGACTGGGCGCTGTCTCGAAGTCCTTGTGCAACTTGAGTTTTCTCAAAATAGCTGCTGTCAGCTCGGCAAACGCCACTTGTCCTGCTCGAAGTCGGCTGGCAAAAGCAAAAAGCCTAAGCGTGGCAGTTATGGAAATTAGATTCAGTCACGTTGAACAGCCTTTTCAAGCAGGGTACCCATGAATTCAATCACTTTCCAAGAATTTCCTGGGAACACCCATAATTGCCTAAGATGTAAGTGCATTCACCAATTTTCCCGTCGCTAGGAAACCTCGGAAGGATTTGGAAAATGTCTGCAATGGCAATTTGGTGACGAGATTTCTTGGAATACAGATTAGACCGCAGTTTTCTTGTAGCTGGGGTGATGTCATTAGTGAGACTATCCAGGTGGATAATGCCGTTCTGGATGCGCCGTGCACTCTGCTTCCACCCCACATCATAGGGGTATTCGAGGGCGTCCGTGGATAGGACTTCCACAAAGTCCAGCCCACTTTTTCGTGCTGTTTGTCAAACCTGATGCCGAAAATCGGATCGGAGAAGGAGATAAGCCTTCACTGGTTAGAATAGAAGTCAATCCAACAGACGCAGGAAGACGGTGTAGTTCCAACTGCTGCAAAGCTGCTTGGGACTTTTCATTTGCGTGGGGGT